CTCTAGAGGATCCCCCATTTTTATATAACACTGTTAATGCTTCAAGAAGTTGAAGCAAAATCGAACGCGTCAAACCCACGTAAAGCGCACGACAATTGTTTTGTTTCATCAATTCATATAAATTAATTGAAAGTAATTCAGTAACTATACAAATGTGGTTATGGAAAACAAAGTGATCAACCATCCGCAGCGTGTTACCTTTTCCATCATTGTCAAACTTGACGTTCAAAACCTGAAGAATTGCAATTTCAAGCATAGCTTGTCGGTAGTAAGCTGGACGGTTTTTGAGGACTTTAATAGCAACAAACACTTTGTTAGCTTCGTCGAAACATTTCACCACCTGACCAAATGCACCTTGGCCAAGTAAACAAAGGACTCGATATCTGGACCCTGGTCGTTTTCCGTATGAAACAACACTCTCAACCCCCGTCCCAATCACTTCATCAGTATATAAAATATAGTCATATTTTGAATTGTCATGGTAGTCATTATGTGTTGGTGTACTCGGCGATGTCAGCGCACGTTTCGATATGATATTAGAAAAATCAAGAGAAGGATTACACTTCTTAAGCACTTCGATAAATCCAATTGTACTTTGCCTTACACGACTAGCCTACCAATTAATTATTTAATCGTTTATCGCTGTGCTCATTGGTTGAATTTAAAAGCATTTTTAAATGACAAAAACAAAAAACAAACCAAATCGACTTCCTGTGGAGGTGGGTTTGACTCAACAAAATCATTGAAAAAAGTGTCTGGTGAAGTCGAGTAATTAATGTGGTGGTCTGATTTAATAAACTTTTTGTGGTGGATATGAGTCGAAGCCATCGGACTAATTTTTCGTTTGTTACAATTGAAAGTTTGTTTTGAGTTCTTTTAACTATAAATAGGAGTTTAATTATCTGATATTTCGATTTATCAATTTACTTTTGTTGTTTTTAAAAAGTAAAATTAAATAAAAAACACAAAATACGTCAAATTATAAGAATAAAGCGGGCAATTTGGGGTGAATTGGGATATTCTTGTATACTATAAAAACTAAAACGAATCTATTCGAAAACAATAAAACATTATGAGATCCATTAAAAATAGTACATTAGAAAAATCAAGGAACTACAATAAAAAAAAGAAAAAGAACTTAAAATTTATATTTTAGAAAAGCATGAAAGGAATGCTTATATTGCTCTGTTTTATGTTAGTTGTCCCTTTGTTTGCAGAAGATGAGGTGAGCCACGCTGAGTACGAGTTGGAGGACGACAATAAGTACGAGAAAGAAAAGGCAGAGATCTCCGAGAAAATTCGCGAGAAGATCGAGAAGAAAATTGCAAATAAAATTGCACTCAAAGAAGTTGCGAAGAACAGAGAGTTCGATAGAAAGAAGGCAAAGATCTCAAAAAAACTCAAAAAAATTGGCGCGCGCATAGATGGGCTTAAGAAGAGGGTTGCTTTGTACTCGAAAACAAGAAAGAATTTGAAAGTCAAAATTGCAAAGATGCTTGAAAAGAAGAAGAATGCAATCTTAAAAATTAAGGAGTACAGACTAAGAATGAAAGAAAAGATCACAAAGATTGAAGTGAAGGCACTCAACAAGGGTAAAAGCGTCGATCCAGTTAAGACAAAGGCACTCCAAAAAGCACAGAGAAAACAAGCGAGACGAATTGTCAGACGGTTCAACAGAAAGATGAGAATGTTGAAAAGAAAATCCAAACACCTCGAATCAAAGAAGGCACAACTGAGAAACAAAATTGCACATTTGAAAGGTGTTGCCAACGCTTTGAGAGCAAAACTCGCAATTTTGTTAAAGAAGAAGGATGCATATGCCAAGAAAATGTTGAAGAGAAGAGAGGTAATGCTTAAAAAGGCCTTGCGCCACATGAAAATATTTGTGATGTTGAAACAAATAGAAAAACATTTGAAGCACGTCGAACAACGACTTGCTGTCGAAACTGATGACAAGAAGAGAGAGAAGCTCAACAGAAAAAGAGAATACCTGATGGAGAAGCAGAAGAAGCTCCTCAAGAGAATTGATGTTCTAAACAGAAGAAAGGCTGAAAGAAAGGCGAGAAAGGTCGAAATGAATAAGGTGAAGGAACAAATGAAAACATACCTCAAGAAGTACCACCAAGAGAAAAAGATGAAAAAAGCCCAATTGAGAGCTGCAAAGAGAGAAATGAGAGCCTTAAAAAGACAATTCAAAAAAGCTGAAAGACAATACAACAACGCCAAATCGCCTGAGAAGAGAGAAAGAAAGGCAACAGCGTTACAGGGTGCGAGAAGTGCTTATTTCAAGGCAAAGAGCATGATCTATAACACTAAAAAGGATTTGAGGGATATGAAGAACATTTCTATTATTAAGTTGCACGCGATTGTCAGAGGACTTTTGAAGTTGAAAATCATTGATGCACAGATGAGAATCACCGAACACAAACTGAGCATCAAGGAGTATGAACAGTACAAGAAGAAGGTTGTTGCACGGCTTGCTCAGTTAAAGAAGTTTGGCAAAAGACTCGACCTTTGCCCAGCGAACCAACACTTGCTCCAAAAACAAATTAAGAAGAACAACAGAAGGCTGAGACATGTCGCTAGAAAGATTGCACATTCATACAAGGCGATAAGGGTACATGAATTCCGAATTGGTGCTATCCACAAGAAGTTGAGGATGTTGGCTATTAAAGAGTACAAGCACATGAAAAACGTTGTTGAGGAATTGAAACAGGTAATTAGACAGCTCAAGATGACCATCAGAGTGTCGAAGTTTAAGGCTGCTTGCTCTGGTTCGTTGACCAAGAAGAGAATGTCATTTGTTATTAAGAAGGCCAAAAACGAGATTAAGTCATTAAAACTTGAACGAAATGACTTCAAGTTGAAGATAAAGGCTGTTGATGAGGCTATTGCAGAAGAGAAGAGACAAAGACTTACTGTCACTAAGATTGATTACCACCGAGCGAAAGCTGCTCTTGAAGAGTCAAAGCATGGCATTAGAAAGCTTACAAGAAAGATTGAGAAAAACAAGGAAAAAGCTACTGCCACAAATGATGTCTACAAAAGAAAGCAATTCATGAAGAGAAACGCACAGATTGCAGCCAAAATTGTTAAATTGGATTCTATCAACAAGACACTCATCAACAAAGTGGGGATTTTGAAGGTCAAATACAACAAGATGAAACAAGCCGAATTGTCAGAGTTCCTTGCTAAACAAACCAAGTGGGAAATGAAAAAGTCTAAAGTTATTGCTGAACTCGAGAAGTTGGCAAAGAGTGACGAAAAGGTAACTCGTAAACTTCACGCTAAGATTTGCAAATTAAAACGTTGCCGACTCATTTATGGCAAAAAGGAGAACTACCTGAGAGCTCACAAGTTACAGATAGTATTATTCAAAATTAACCAGAAACTTGAGACCATCCACGCCGAATACGTTAGAAGAGGTGAGATGAAGTCTTTCTCTGTTATAAAGAGAAGATTCAGAAAGATACAAAAACAATACGTCCAAGTCGATAAGAAATTGAAACATTCAAGACACCAATTGACTCGTTTAGAAAAGAAAATCACCGCTGCTGAGCAAAAACTCCCATATTTGGATGATAATGAGAAGAATATTGCCAAAGGTATTGTGAAGACACTCGAGAAGATCAAGAGAAAGGTTTCAAAGAACATAGTTTCTAGGAAAGAAATAGAGTGATTATCATGAAGAAGTATCTTGACTTGAACA